CCCCCCCCCCCCCCAAAAAAAAATGTTCTCCTTCTTCTACATCTTAAGGGCCCACGATATCAGTAGTCCTGATATAGAAACATGGGAATACTTGAAGAGAATATTTAACTAGTTGCAAGGGCTACTCGGTGAAGGCATCAGGAACTGTGGTCTGGAAGGCCTGAGGCAATAGAAGCAAATCTGTCACGTGTTGTCGCCTCAACTGTTCCTTTTGAAAGCTTGTTCCAGTCCCTGATTGACGTTGGCAGGAGTGAGCCATTCCTGTACTGTGTTCTCGCTGGGATTAACCGGAACTGCCTGTCATGGCCTCGTCGCTGTCATGGGGGGGACGGACGAGTTTCCGTTCAATGCTGGAGCTATAGAAATGTAATTGACTGCTTGTTTAATTTCTTTTTTATAAACAGGTTACCTTTTGTAATATGTTTAGAATTTCATGATATCTACGTTTGAGCATCATGTCTCCCATCAAATGAAACACGATCAATAATGATATATTCAGAAATAACCTCATTTTCCCCTTCTATCAATTTGTCAAAAGGGGATTAGACAACCAACATATTCGACATCTATCGCTATATGAATGGGGAAACGGACAACCATCTTATTTCCCTTCTATCAATATATCAAAGGGGAATCAGACAACCATCTTATTCCCCTTCTATCAATATATCAAAGGGGAATCAGACAACCATCTTATTCCCCTTCTTTTTTTTTTAAAATACAGTTATTTCAACCATAAAATTATATAAAAATCTGCTTTAAAAAAATCATTTAATTATTTTAATGACAAAATTATCATCTTTTCATTACCTTCCCCCGCAAGCCATGGGATAATTCAAATCCATTTGCTCACCAACCCCACCACTCCCAACCTGCCTAAAAAAGAACCGACAAGACTTTGTCAGGTCAGGCACGACCACTTTGTCTAGTCAGACACGACCACTTTGTCTGGCACGACACGACCACCTTGACTGATCCCACACGACCACTTTGTCTGGTCAGACATGACCACCTTGTCAGGTCAGACACGACCACCTTGTCTGGTCAGACACGACCACCTTGTCTGGTCCGACACGACCGCCTTGTCTGGTCCGACACGACCACATTGTCTGGTCCGACACGACCACCTTGTCTGGTCCGACACGACCACCTTGTCTGGTCCGACACGATCACTTTGTCTGGTCAGACACGACCACCTTGACTGGTCCCCACGACCACTTTGTCTGGTCAGACGGGACCACTTTGTCTGGTCCGACACGATCACTTTGTCTGGTCAGACACGACCACCTTGACTGGTCCCACACGACCACTTTGTCTGGTCAGACACAACCACTTTGTCTAGTCCGACACGATCACTTTGTCTGGTCCGACACGCGAACTTAACATGGTAAAACTGTGTGTTTTAATGGGGCGGCCATAATAATATGCAAACAAAAAAAAATACACTTTTAATAGAAGTTGTTGCTTTTTAAACACTTAAAACAATTTTAATTTTTCAAGTGTGTGTTTTAATCAATACTCATGTGTAGCGCCGTATCAGATCGCTACAGGTTTTGTGTTAACATATAGCTGCATGAACTGTGGAAACCCATAGCTACACGTACGGCGGTTACACATTGCCACGTGTCTTGTGGTTACACATTGCTACATATACAGTGATTACACATTGTTACATGTCTTGTGGTGACACATTGCTACATATTCTGTGGTCAAACATTACTACATGTGATAACGTTATACATTGCTACATGTACTGTGACTGTGATTACACATTGCTGCATTTAACGTGGTCACACACTGCTCCTTGTAATTTGGTTACACTTTTCTACAAAATACGTCGTCACATCTTGCTACACGCACTGTGGTCATACATTGCTACATGCATGTGTCGTGATTACACATTGCTACATGTACTGTGGTTACACATTGCTACATGTGCTAACATATTGCTACAACCTAAAGGCTACCCATAGCCGTGTCCTATAGTAAGCACTGTTTCTTTACTTTTTTGGTTTAAGACCGGCTGAGCGAATCGGCTGAAAAACAAAAGGGGAAAAAAATGTGCTGGATTAGCACGTCATCTACGTGTGAATGCTGCCGTCAAATGAAGCACATCTTCGTGCATCAGTGATTGCATAACAGCGTGAAATGCCAGTGCATCTCACAGGGTGATACTATCCCCCCCCCCCCTTTTTTTGTGTGGTCTTTTTGGTGAAATTTTTAATTGTTATTATTATTATTATAAGTAGTTTTATACAGCTTGTTACCACAGCCTAGGGCTGGGCACACCACGCTGTACATACAATTTAACAAACATAATCAAAAACTTTAAAATTTAATCAACATAAATTAATTAAATAAAACAAAACAAATGTTATTTAAAACTATTTGTAGGTCAGGCCGTGGACGACAAACAGCAGCATCGTTTTTCGGTCAGGGGCGGAATCAGTCAGGGTAGTAGAGTTTAAACAGAGGTGTTTTTCCAGTGCAGTTGCTTTCTTCAATTCGTTTATCTCAACCTTTGCTTTGATTTGTTTTCTGTTTGTTTTTTAAATAAATTGTATACATCTCTCTCTATCTATCTATCCATCGATCCATCCATCCACCCACCCATCCATCCATCCATCCATCCATCCATCCATCCATCCATCCATCCATCCATCTATCTATCTATCTATCTATCTATCTATCTATCTATCTATCTATCTATCTATCTATCTATCTATCTATCTATCTATCTATCTATCTATCTATCTATC